TGTGCACACACGTGTGTATGAAACACTGGCAGTTTAATGGGCAAGGAAACACTTTCACCCCACGCATAAGCTCTAATCATAAAGTGATCTGAAATGAATTAAATGGACTGTATCTTCAATTAATGAACAAGTTAAATGTTGTAGTGATAGCAACGCCTATTATTCATTGCTTTCAGCATGTAATTGCTCTTCAAATAACAGTAATATTTAAATGTCAGTAATTCTTCCTTATTAAGAACCATTTACATGATTATCAGCAATACATTTTTTAAACACTCTAAGAAGTGGGTTTTGCAACTTTAGAAAATGTGTATCAGGCTACTGCTTTTTCACAAAGGCAGTTTTTTCTTCTTAAAAAAACACCCGCAAGCACAGGAGACTCACAGGAAGGTAAAAACCATATCAACTAATAACAAAGGCTTCCAATGTGTTCGCATTGCAAATAGTATGCAAATCACTACATCAAACCTTTACATTAGCAGAGATTACTGTCCGCATATTTGCTGAAAACATGTATTGAAATGCATTTTCCAGACAACACCTGGCATTGCCGTATTGTTGTGAAATCTGAGGTCGTGCTTGGGGAGTCTGCCTCGGGCTTGGGGAGTCTGCCTCGGGCTTGGGGAGTCTGCCTCGCTAGGGCTTTCTGTCCCCTGCGATGCAGTTGTTGTCAGCGGTTAAAGGCTCTGCCCTGGCTCCAGTACTTGCTTTTACAGCACAGACCACAGCGTGGAGGCTGTCTCCCATTAGGGAAGCATCTGTGCTGATGGCTCCGTGCTCTGTGCTTGTGTCATGATGATGAGCAACTGTACGCTGTGATAGGGACACACCTTGACATGTTTGTGAGCGCTTCTTCCTTCGCGTTTACTTGTTAAGATCATTTATGAAATTGATGGCTCGAGAGAGAGGACATCCTGGCTACTGTAGAAGCACAATTAATTCAAGAAAGTTGACTGACAGCTGAGCTCTTCCAAGTGACCCTCTCCTGCCAGTATGCCCGAGTCTCCGCTTCCTAGTAACAGTTCTGTTTCTCTGTCAGAAACCAGGATTTAGAGAATGGAGATCTTAAACCTGATGGGTCAGTTTTGTTAAATCAAAGAGTAAATAGGTACTTGACATGTTTGGATTGAACTTTTGGACAAATAGCAAGTGATTTCAAGTGCGTTTTGCTTCAGGACAAATTTGAACCCCTCAGGATATGTGGGTGTGTGTGGGACCTGTCACTCACTCACTAGAGAATCCGCTTAGTGGGTGCCCCTTGGCTCCCTTCTGTTCCTACAATCACAGTCACATGGGAAAGTAGATGCTTAATGGTATTCTCAAATTTTAGCATTTATTCAAGGCCAATATAGAGCAAAGCGATTTTATTGCATGTGCCTGGGTGCAGGTGGGCTGAGCCGAAAAGGGGTCAGCCTCAAATAACAGTTGGGGTGTAGGTTATATACTCTACTTCTAGCTTCCTGCAGTTCCTGCTGACGTACGCTGCCTGGCCCATTGTCCACTTTGCAGTTGGACTGGTCTGGTATCTCATCCTGCATCTGCTGGGTGATTCACTGCCTTGCGGATAATCCGATAATCCTCACTCAACAGAAGGCTGAGCAAAGATCACGCAAGCAACACATTTTTCGGTTTCCGCCTTTTGCAAACTTTTACCTTTACCCTTTAAAATGTTGCTAACCCTTTCACTTGTTAAGATCAAGTGTCCAACACTATAATATTTTCTCTACTCTCATAATCCAACAGTATTTTTGAACAAGTGGGTTACAATTGCATTGAAATTGTTGATAAATTGTGATGTTACCTTCCAGTTAGTGGTTAAACATTTTCCTACTTTCCTTCCTCTCCCTTCTTCCCTCCCTTTCTTCCTCCCTCCCTCCCTCCCTCCCTCCTTCCCTTCCTCACCAATCCTTTTCTTTGTTTAATAGGCTTTTGACCTCAAACCTGTGGTTTTCTCTTCCACAGAATCTTTTATTTTCAGTCTTCTCCCTCATTTTTTCAAGGCAGTGTTTCTTTTTGAATTTATTGGGTTGACTTTGGTTAATATAATTATTATATTCAGCTTTCATGTATACAATTCTACAATACATCACCTATATATTGTATTGTGTGTTCACCGGCCCAATCTTCTTCCATCACCATTTATCCCCCCTTTACTGTCTTCTAACCCCCACCTCCACCGCTGCTCCTCTGGCAATGACCATCCTGTTATCTGTGTCCATGAGTCTTTCTTTTTTTTTCGTTGCTGAAGCCCTTCACCCTTCTCACTCAGCCCCCAACATCACTCTTTTGACAGCAATCAGTCTGTTCTCTGTATCCATGAGTCTGTCTCTACTTTGTTAGTTTATTTTGTTCATTATATTCCACACATAAGTGAAATCATATGGTTGGTACTTGTCTTTCTCTGACTGGCTTATTTCATGTAGCATAGTACTCTCCAGGTCCATCCATGCTGTAGCAAAAGGTAAGATTTCCTTCTTTTTTATGGGTGAGTGGTATGCCATTGTGTAAATATACCAAACCTTTTTTTTCTTAATTTTTTTTTCTTTATTGATTTTAGAGAGAGAGGAAGGGAGAGGGAGAGAGAGAGAAACATCGATGACAGAGAATATTGACTGGCTGCCTCTGCATGCCCCCTACTGGGGATCAGGCCCACAACCTGGGCATGTGCCCTGACCGGGAATTGAACCAGTGACCTCTTGGTGCTTGGGTGTATGCTCAATCACTGAGCCATACCAGCCGGCTGTACCACAGCTTTTTTATCCACTTATCTACTGATGGGCATTCGTGCTATATCCAAATCTTGGCTATTGTAAATAACACTGCAGTGAACATAGGATGCATATATTCTTTCAAATTAGTGTTTTGAGTTTCTTTGGTTATATTTCCAGAAGTGGAATTGCTGGGTCATAAGGCAGTTCCATTTTTAATATCTTCAAGTAACTGCATACTGCTTCCCACAGTGGCTGCACCAATCTGCATTTCCAACCCAAATAAAGAAAGGGCAAAGGACTGAACAAACATTTCTCTACAGACGTATAGATGGTGAATAGACATACGCAAGGATGCTCAGCATCACTAATCATCAGAGAAATGCAAATTAAAACCATATGAGATATCACCTTATACCTGTCAGAATGGCTATCATCAAAAAGTCAACAAATAACAAGTATTGGTGAGGATGTGGAAGAAAGTGAAATGGTGGGAATGCACTATGGGTGGGAATGCAGGTTGGTGCAGCCACTGTAGAAAGCAGTGTACAGTTACCTCAAAAACTTTAAAATGGAGCTGCCTTATGATCCAGCAATTCCACGTCTACTAGAACTGATAAATGAATTCAGTAAAGTAGCAAGATAGAAAGTAAATATCCAAAAATCAGTTGCATTTTTATATACCAATAGTAAACTATAAGAAAGGAATCTAAGAAAACAATCCCACTTACAATTTATTTAAAAAATTACCTAGGAATAAATATAACCAAGGATGTAAAAGACCTGTACTTGGAAATTTATAAAGACACTGAAGAAAGAAACTGAAGAAGATACAAATAAGTGGAAGCATATACCATCCTCATGGATAAGGACAATTGATATCATTAAAATGTCCATACTACCCAAAGCAATCTATAGATTCAACATAATTCCTATCAAAATACCAATGGCATATTTCACAGAACTAGAATAAATATTCCAAAAATGTACATAGAAATACAAAAGACCCTGAATAGCCATAGCAATCTTGAGAAAGAACAACACTGGAAGAATCATGCTGCCTGATATCAAACTATACTACAAGGCCATAGTAAGCCAAACAGCATGGTACTGGCATAAAAAACAAACATATAGATGAATGGAACAGAATAGAGCAACCAGAAATAAACCCATGCCTATATGGTCAATTAATATTTGGCAAAGGAGACAAAAACATACAATGGGGTGAGGATAGTCTATTCAATAAATGTGTTGGGAAAATTGGGCAGATATATGCAAAAAAATGAAAGTAGACAACCTACTTACATCATATACAATAATAGACTCAAAATGGATTAAATACTTAAATGTTAGACTCGAAACCATAAAAATCCTGGAAGAAAACATAGGTAGTAAAATCTTGGACATTTCTCATAGCAACATTGTTTCTCATATATTACCTCAGTCAAAGAAAACAAAAGAAAAAATAAACAAACGGGACTACACCAAACTAAAACATTTTTACACAGGAAAGGAAACCATCAGCAAAATAAAAAGAAAACCCATTGAATGGGAGACCATATTCACTGATACATTTGATAAAGGCTTAATATCCAAAATTTATAAGGAACTTATTTTAAAAAAGGAAATGTTTCTTTATGCTGCAATCAATCTTCAACATATATATTTCAATTTTAAAGAATCATATATTCTTTTACATTAGCTTAGTGTTTTCATCTCTCTCTTATCTGGTACTTACCTTGGCTTTTATTTATCCGGCCATATTTAACTGTAACACTAGTTATTTGTGTTATTATAATGTAACAGTACTAGTCTGAAAGACCTGAACTGGAAATCAGCTCTGAAAACTACTAGCTATATTTGCACATACTTAAAAAGACCAAGTACCAGTCTTTTACCTTGTTAACTGTTAATAATACCTTTTTTTTTTTATACCAGTTTATTGTACATAAACAGTGCTCATGCCAAACGAGGCGCCAGTAAAGATGCATAAATGTTAGAATCAGTTCCCTAGGCAGAGATCTCTGGCTCCTGTTCACAGGCCCGCTAGGGCGCCTGGCACACAGGAAGTTTGCGAGCACGTCCTCTGTCACCTCGCCATGGGTCCTGTGCTGCTGCAGCCTCACCTCAGTGCTCGGAAGATGAGACCCCGCCACTGTGCACATACAGTTCACACTCAGGGGGCTGACACGAAGCAGGATTATATTTTAGAGGTATATCATTGTAAATGACTGGTGAGTGTCCGGGAAAACATCTTCAGAAGGCTAAAGGTGTGTGTTTGGTCTTCCTCAGGCATCCTGTTCTCACTGGTGGTGGTGCTCTACGTCATCTGGGTCCAGGCAGTGGCTGACATGGAGAGCTACAAGAACATGAAGATGAAAGACTGCTCGGACTTCACGCCTTCTGTTCTGTATGGCTGGTCATTTTTTCTGGCCCCAGCAGGAGTATTTTTTTCTTTGCTCTCTGGGTTACTATTCTTAGTTGTTGGACGGCATATTCAGATTCATGACTAATCAAACTATTGCCACCAGTGATTTGAAAACAGCATATTTTATTTTTATTTCTTTCAGTGATCCTAGCATAGAATTAGTTGATGTAACTTTTTAGTTGCTATTTGAATTAACCATTTCACTTGTGATTTTTGTCTAATAAGAAGGTTCTAAAACTTCTCCAGACACCAAAAGAAGTTTTCATCTGTTTAAGTGCTGTCAAGAACCCAGTCCTTCGGGGAGGCCATGGCCTCCCTCTCACCGCATGTGTCAGAGTCCATGCCTGTTGCAAACACACACAAGCGTAACCACAGCACAGCCATGAGGGCCAGTCGGGTGTGGCTGCAGCCGCTTCTCGTATGCACGTCCGCTGTACTTCAAACCCTCTGGAGGATGACTAAGGATGGAAAACAGACGTCAGAGAATTTACTCCATTTCCTCCCTACACATCCACACCCACAGCTACATTCACTGACTCCTCTGGGCAAGCGATTCATGATTTAAAAATAGATTGCAGTTGTTCCCGTAGCAGGAGCCGCACACACTCGTCAGTTAACATGGGCCGCACTAAACCGGGACCTCCACCTTCCCTGCGCTCTGAGCAGCCGTGCTTGGTCCCCTCACTTCAGTCGCTCCGTGTGCATGCTTACCTGACCTCGACCTACATTTGAAAGTAGAAATCTGTACACCAAAATACAAAGAATGCAGGTTGGACTTTTAGAACTTAAAGTGGGTTAATTATCTATTTAATATAGTTGAAAATATGTAAAAACCAAGAACCTTAGCTTACACATAATTCGATTTGATTTTTTTAAATTCCCACTTAAAATTATGTTGCTAATATGTTCAGCTTATGAAAATTTATTGATGAAATGCGCTTTTAATATGCACAAAATGCTTCCATATGAGGATGATAATAGACTTGCTTTATTAAAGACTGAAATATTAACTTTTCCAAGATTGTATGGGTTGTAGTTCTTCTGATCATTTGATTCCCTTAATTATTGCCCTCAGTGTGTTTCATCTTTACAACACGTATTTAACATTTACAGATTTGCTATTTCCATTCATCTCTTTGAAGAAAACTGCTTTTTTGCAAGGGGATGGGTAGGGGTGGAATAATTCTGTATTATTTATTAGCATAAACATTTTGCATATCAAAGATGTCTGTCCGGCACTCATTTTGACTGAAATCAAATCCATCTGAGAAGCCTAGATCGTGTTTGCATTTTGGAAACCTCCACCAGGGAGGAGTCGGTGCTCCTGCAGGAACAGTGGGCGCCGCAGTGAGCCTGGCTCAGCGGCAGACTCTGCACACAGGTGTCCTGGATGCCAAGGCGGGACTCAGCAGCAGGCTGAGGGCCGCCTGGAGGTGCCGTGGAGCAGAGGGCTACGCTTCTCCACACCCTGTGTTTCCATTTCCGCCCTGCGTGGGAGGGTCGTCTGGAGCAATGGCTAGCGTCTGAGCTATCTGTAGAATCATGAGTGGCCTTTGAGTGTTTAGGGATGGTTAGGGCTTGCATATAGTACAAACAAACAAACAAAAAAACGGCAACAAAGCTCCAGGAGTTTAAGTAGTTTCTCAAGCCATTTTAATGATATTATAAATGATTTTGTGGTAGTTTCATTTTCCTGTTTCACTTTTATATTGCTTCATTTAGATCTTTGCTTTTGGCTTGATGATTAAAAAAATAATTATGGGTTCTGTTATGCATATTGACTGTGATGCTAAATTATGGCATGCCATTAAGTTCTCCAGACAATGCTAGATGTATTGCATTAGTTCATGTCATCTGTAAATACAATTCCTTTTTGTAGAACTCTGGAACTGAGCCTTTTTCTGGTGTGTTATATGTCATTTAAATTTCACATACAAGCTGCTTTCAGTGAAAGTTTGAACATTTATACATGTCAGATGGCTACCCTCACTGTCTAATGTGGCTACCATATAGTTATCATAAGGCAACTGGCTGGATATCGGATGTGTGACACTTCTACACAGACCCACACTTCAGAAGTACTTTGTGGCTGTAATGCATCAGTCACATACTCCAGCACGTCTCCTGATCGACACCACGGGAGGAAGGAGGGAAGGAAGGAAGGTGAGTTGTGTTTGCTGTCATAGTAAAATATACTTAACAACAGCAGATATATGTGGTATATTCTTGTAACAGTCTTATGTCTGATTTGGTATAGTATGTTTCCTTTTATTTCTCTATTGCATATATTGATTAATTTTCAGAAGACTCCAAACAAAGTATTAAATCTTAAGAGTATAGATTTGCATCATAAACTTTCAATTTGACAAATAAGATATTTTTTGTGACCATTATGGAAGTGACAGAAGAGGGAGTGAGTCATGCCCTTGGACTTGGGTCGAGCCGTGATCTCTCCACCTGCTGGTTGTTCAGTGGGTCCAGTTTGGCCAGGCAGCAGGGCGGGGGACCTCACAGAGAAGCTGGATGAGGCTGTGCAACGTGGGGCTGATGATGACTCGAGTGTGCTGAGCGGGTTCCTTCTGGTCACTGAGTCACTTTTATGACTAATCTATGAAATATGGTTCTTGAATTTGAAAATTAAATCCACTTATAAGGGTATATGGTGGCAGAGGTGTCAGTATTTGGTAATTATCTATCTATCTATCTGTCTATCTATCTATCTATCTATCTATCATCTGTCATCTGTCATCTATCATCAACATGTGAATGTGTATGTGTTACAATGGTAAGTTTGGGTAGAAAGAGAGAAAGTGAACGATGGAAATGAATATATTTGAGATAAGCACATGTTTAAAACTCGGTTTCTCTTGGGTGCAGTAATACAGCTGTGTCTCTCTGAGTGTTGTTTTATGTTTGACTCCTCTGAGGAAGATGTGCTGAGTCCCACACATAACTCAGCGTGCGTGTCCCTGAAAGTACACCTCAGGCCGCAGAGACTCCAGCTCCGCGGCAGGCAGCCGGGGGCGGGGCGGCAGCCTGCGGGAAGGGCCAGGAGTGTGGGGGTTCTGTGGAGAGAAATATATTAATGGGTAAGAAGATGGTCCCCAATTTTATTTTGGTGGGACACCATCAGCAATTTGAGGACTCACACAAAAGGGAAGATAATAAGGAACTAAGTCCTGGCTGCTTGTCTGAAGGAATTAAATATATTGAGACATTCCCTCAGCAGTGACCGAATGTAGATAGAAAAATTCCAACAGAAACTTAGGAAGACAGTCTATTAGAAATGGTAAAAACCAAGGAGGGCGGGGAAATAGTTAACATCACACGTACTATAATAAGCATAAACTAAACGAAAGGATATTTAACTCAGTTTGCAGGTAAAGAGGAAAGAAGGAACCTGCCCAGCGGAGCGCGGAGGTTCTGGTTGCAGACCAGGCCAGTGCCAGCAGCTGTCTTCAGGAACCTTAGGGTCAGCCGGGCCCGTGTCAGCGGGCAGTGGCGTGGAGCTTGCCTGGCAGTCCCGCTCCGGCTTTTGAAGGGCTGGTTTTCTCACTGATGTGCAGCTACGACTGTGAAAGACTGAAGGGCAGCCGGATGGTTGAACTTTGTTAGGAATATATCAAGAATCACATGGTCTAATCATTCTATTTTGTGTGTGTGTGTGTGTGTGTGTGTGTGTGTAATTTATCTGTGGTGTCGATGCATAAATTGGAAGGATCTTGAATTCTTTAAGTACTGATGATGTCTTGGCTCACACAAATGGCGGGAGTGGTCTAAACTGTCTGTATGAAATAAGCATGGCTGGAGCAGCTGGTGTCCTGCTCTGACCCTGAGTACTATGCAGGGCATTTGGGGTGGGGAGGCTCACTGGGATCAGGACACACAGCGAAAACCTTAATATTCTCAATCTTCTTGGAGTCCAGGAGTTACTGTGACACATTCACTAAAAATGTAGATGGCTCTCCCTTTATACAATAGCTTTTCAAAAAGTGATAGGTAAAAAGTAATGCCTACTGCCTCATATTTTGGTGTGGTGAATACAAAGACACTCTAAGAAATATTGATATGTTGTCTTCCTCCCCCCAAAATACAAGAAACCTTTGTTTTCTCAAGAATTTTATGGGTGTATATAAATATTTGAAGAGACGTCAAACAGAAAGTTGGATTAACCTCTGTGTGTGTGTGTGTGTGTGTGTGTGTACACATATACCCAAATGTCTAGGTATGTACTATGTGGTATGTATGCATATCTATATAAATGTTTAGATAAAACTGTGTATATATATAAATGTCAATAGAAACACATCTGAATATACACAGATAGTTTGCACATTTATTATATATATGTTTGTAAATAAGAAATGCTGGCATTTTAATTATATGTGCATATACACATATCCAAATATCTGTCTCGGGCATACCTGAGTTCTTGGGGTTGGCTGAAAGGAAGCACATTTTGTCCTTACGCTATTGCATGCCTGTCCCGCTGGGGAGTGGGGTGCAGAGGAGACTCAGTGCCTGCTGTCATGGCCCCTCTTTTTCACCCAGGGCATATGTGCTGATGCACGTGAAATGGACTGGTCATGTCTCACCCCACGAATGCCCACTGGCAATGGCCCTGTCTTTGAGCATCTTCTAGCAACTAATACTTAGCAATGGATAGCTATGAATGCATATTTTTTAATAGTTATAAATATTTTTGTATAAAAGAATTCCTTTTTAAAGCAACATGCCTCGACTGATACAGAGTCAAGTGGATCTCCAGGAGCTCCTCACGTGGCCACCTTGGCAGGGCCCTGTGCCGGCAGGTGCGACCCGAGGCTGAGCACCTGCACCCCGAGCCCTGGCCTGCAGCTCATAACCTGACGAGTTACTGCCCACTTTGGCTCAGTTTCTTCATCTAAAATATTTACTCGTTTATTCAACTACAGTAATTGTGTCACAAATGGTGCTATATAGCGGGCATATTTTATTAACCAAGACAGATAATGGTGTTTTCGTTCTTTAAGCTAAGATTCAAGGAAGAAACATGGACAACAAATAAGTAAACAAAAGAGAGCTGAATTTGTAAATGGTGATAAATACCCTCAAGTAAGATATACGAGACATAATTACAGATAAAACCATGATTGATGGATAGTTAGGGGAGTTCTTTGTAAGGAGAAATTTCTGAATTGCAGGAAAGAATTCTGAGTGTCTGACACACGGCCTGCATGAAGGGCCGTGGGTGAAAGTGGCGGGAAGCACCTTCGGGGGGGCGTGGGAGAGCCGCCGAAAGGAGAAGCGAGCTTGGCAGGGGAGAGGATTCTGACGAGGTGGGGAAGTCGGAAAGGCCCAGCCACTCGGAGTCCTTGAGCCACGGCAGTATACTTTAAAGGAAAAAAGTGAAAGGACTTTTGGTGGAATGGATATGGGACGAACAGAGGCAAATCAAGTTTTGTTCCCAGATTTCCTGGCTGAGCAATGGGTAGACGGAGAAGACTGGAATCAGCCAGGAGAGGAACAAGCTGGGGTATCGGGCATCCCTGGTTCATTTTGATGATGTAATATTCGAAATGCCCATAAAATGTCCAAGTTGAAATATGGCAGGCAACTGGGCATGGCAGTCAGGAGCAGTGTGAGATGGACACTAACACTTGGGACGCACCGAATTTCAAGTCCCGGAGAAGATGAGGCTGTTGCCGCCGGAATCGGAGCCTTCGCGGAGTTGGCGCGGTGTCGGTGCAGGTTCCGCGGTGAGACTGTGGAAGAAGCTGGAGCGAGCGCAGAGGACGCCCGGATTCAGCTCCTGGGTCTCGGCACTGTCCTCCTGAGGAAGAGGTCCAACCCTGCCTCCGCCCAGAATAAAGGTCGGCGGCCACCCATTCTGCGCCCCGGCTCCGTGCGGTTGTCCCGGCCGCTGTGACCGGCCTGGCCTGCGCTCCCCGCGCGCTCCGGGCACTGCGCCCACGCGCGAGTGCGGCTTGTAGCATCTCCCGCTTCGAAGGGAAGCCAAGGACCAGGCGCCTTTTCAATCCAATCAGTTTCCCAAACCTTTGAGGGCTTCTGATGGGTCATCCTCCCAACTAATCAATTTCCCACATCTTGGGGAGGGGGCGGGGTCTGTGTCCCTCGTCCATTCTTAGGCCAGGCCCCCCCCTGTGGCCGTCCTGTTCCGACTGCGCATGCCTCAAGTGGAGGCCCCTCCCCTGTGCCATGTTGGCTTCTACGGGGCGGGACGTGTGTCCAGCACAGGACTTTCCCCTTAATTTTCCTATCCCTCCCCCCACGAATCTGCAGGAACTGACCGTGGTTCTCCGGGGAGCGTGTGAAGCTGTAGCTTCCTAGTGGAGCAGGCCGGACGCAGGAGTCAGCTTCCCAGTCCAGGAGGCTCCTCAGTGCGTCCCCTTCGCGCCTTCCGGTGTTAATGCCCAGCTGCCTAGGAGGGGGGGGCAGCTCTGCGCTGCAGCGCCCAGCGCCCGAGGGTGCGAGAGGACAGCCTGCAGAGAGGTCGGCGTAGACGCAGAACGATGGGTGGAAATGCAGTGGGAAAAGAAGAGACTGGGTTTCTCTGCTGAGATGATGGCTAAGATGGAAGGAAAGGGGAGTTTTGAATGTGGAAGCTTGGAGGTCCTTTGTGAAATGAGGACAGAAGTCTTGGCCTAGTGGTGGGAACAAAAGTCAGCT